CGTAACTATGTGAAATCTAAAATAACCGATCTGTCAGACAACGATATAAATGTATTCAAATTTAGTTCCTCTCAACGACGTGAAATTTCCTCTTTTAAAATAAATGTGCCTCACAAAATATTAAATACTATTGGCAGTAACTCGTTTTGGCCTGATGGTGCCTTAGTAAAGGAATTTGTTTTCAGAGAACGTACAAAAACCCCTAGATCTGTGAATATTCCAACAGTATCAAAAAACTAAATGATGTCATATCTATACTATATCAGAATGTAAGAGGTCTTAACACTAAATTGCAGTCCACCACTCGATTCCTTCGGAATCTGTCGATATTTTTGTCGACCCAAATAATGAATTTGTTTGTGCAAAGCTAATAGTCTTTGGCAATACAATATATATAACCTGCTCATATATTACACCCAATTCAGGGGTTGAAACTTACTTAAATCACGCTGATCTTATTGGAAAAGTTTTCTCTTCGCTAACAGATAACTCTACTTTGATTTGCATGGGTGATTTTAATCTTCCTAATGTTTCTTGGGTCTCGGGTGATAATAAATTAGATTATGTACCCTCTACTTACCCAGTTGTACTCGACGCTTTTTGGGATAAGATTTATGAACTTTGTTTATACCAAGTAAATTTTATAGTCAATGGTAAGGAACGACTCCTAGATTTAATTTTCTCATCTTCCCTAAATATTTCGCTTTGTAGAAGTCCTCCTTTTGTAATTCCTGAGGATACATATCATCCAACGCTCCTTTTAAACCTTGAATTAAGGAACACTCTGTCCAATATTACCGTTATTAATACTTTATCTAGTGGGCGAAATTTTGCGAAGGCCAATATACCCCTACTAAGCTCTGTCTTATCAGGTTCCATGTGGTGCATCAATGGCGACATTGATTCACGTGTTTCTAAATTTTATGAACAGCTCAATTTAGTTCTAGCTAGCTCCGTAACAATGGCAAAACTATTAGTTGAACAAAGCCCTGCTTGGTTTACACCTACACTAAGACGTCTACGTAATATTAAAAATAGACTTTTTAATAATTTTCAAGCCTATATCTTTATTATTTTGGTAAATAGGTAAAATTTTATCAATCTACTTTAGTTCGTTAGAGCTAGGGTGATTTCCACAGTCGGACATATATATATATATATATGAGTTGCTTAAATTGGCTCTGTAGGTATGTTCCGCGGTACATAAATAAAGACACACCAAGATTCAAGTATTTTCTTTGTTAACGCTCACAGCAATCTTATCTGATGGTTACGATGTAAAATGTTAGAATGGGGATCGCTGTATGAGTACTACTTTATTCTTGCTCACAACAATCTTATCTGATGATTACGATGTTCTATGTTTGAGAAGCGAAGCTATCGTCTAGAACGCAGTTATTTAATAACGTAATGGACAAGTTGTCCATAATAGTACGAATTTAAATAGAATTCAAGGTTGCATTGTTTGTGATTAAATTGATAAAATTTTACCTCCCGATATTCGGTATTTTGAAATTTTGTATTTGAGTTCGTAATGGATACTACAGCCTGAGACATGAAATTGTCTCTGCAGGTCCACCTCTTCGTAAAGCCCCCATATAACGGTACCTCCCGATATTCGGTATTTTGATTTTATCGACAATATAACCGATTTTTTTATATTTTATGAAAAATGCAGGTTCATGTCGTTATATAGACACTAATATAATAGGTACATTCGGTATTTTTAAGATTTTAACAGAAGTTTTAACGGATTTTATTGTTTTTGAGAATTGTCAAATTCATACAGCGTTTTTACTTGTTTCTTTTCTCCATTATTTGGAGTTTAGTTATTTGAATGTAATATTTTTTTTTAATGGATTTAATTTCCTTTTTTCACTTTAATTTTTTTTAAATTTTTTATGTTATTGTCCTTGGAATCACGATAAAATATATTAAACAAAAGTACTAATTATTGTCCGTTTTAAGCGATACAATTTTTGCACGTTTACTTTTTGTAAAACAAGTGTTTTATTATAGTATTGTCCTTGGAATCACGTTAAAATATATTAAACAGAAGGCCTAATTATTGTCCTTTTTAAGCTATATCGTTTTTGCACGTTTACTTTTTGAAAAACCAATGTTTTATTATATTATTGTCCTAAGGTTTGTCTTAAAATATTGAAATATTAAAAAGGGATTCATTAATTCCTGAAGCAATCCATTTTATTTTTATATATTTATATTTAATCCCAAATAATGCAAGCTTGAATTCTATTTAAATTCGTACTATTATAGACAACTTGTCCATTACGTTATTAAATAACTGCGTTCTAGACGACAGTTTTGCTTCTGAAACATAGAACCTAAGTAAGAATGAATTTTAATAAATTACTAGATAGCGATTTCCATTCTAACATGTTATATCGTAACCATCAGATAAGATTGTTGTGAGCAAGAATAAAGTAGTACTTATACAGCGATCTCAATTCTAACAGTTTACATCGTAACCATCAGATAAGGTTGCTGTGAGCGTTAACAAAGAAAATACTTGAATCTTGGTGTGTCTTTATTATTACGCCCAACGCAGAAACGGCAGCGGAAAAAACTCAAATTAAAGTGTTTCATTGACGCCCAAAAAGCTGAGGAAGAACAAAACCCTGATAGTGACGAATACGTGTCTGGAGAAGAAAATATGGCGCAGTTTACAGAGGCACAATTTAAGCAACTCATCCAATTAATGCAAAGCAATAACCGTGCTGGGTCATTTTCTAATTGCTCTGCTCGCTTCAAGGGACATCGTGACGCAGCCTTTGTTGAAGAATTTATTACTGCCATAACTGTCTACAAAGACATTGAATCTATTGCAGTTGTCGATGCTCTTAAAGGGTTGCAGTTATTATTAGAAGATTATGCTGCCAACTGGTGGATTGGCGTAAAGAATGCAGTCGCCACGTTTGATAAGGCCATAAAATTGTTCAAGAAAATATTTTCGCCACCGCTACCTGATTGGCGTACATTTTCAACCATCGTCGAGTCAAAGCCACAACAAAATGAGCACACGGACAAGAATAGAAGTGGCACACAGCAGCGAAAAACACCAACAATAACGTGCTATGGTTGTGGTGCGCCTGGTGTTTATAGTTCCAACTGCACAACATGTAGCAACAACAACAAGAACAGTCCTCAACCTCTTTCTTTCAATGCTATTGCTACTGAAATGATTGGCCGAACTCTACCAACAACTCATGTGGAAATATTTGGATTACTTGGTGAAGCAGTTTTCGTCACTAGCGCAAAGGTAAGCGTTGCTAGCTTGAACCTTGCAAACATTTTAAAAAGAAAGCGGATGCCAGTTTCAACCAATAAAAAGTAAGTCTGGCCGATGGATCGACAAGAACTTGGGTAGTGTAATCGACCATCTGTGATATTACGATTGACAATAGAAAGAAGAAAATCCGACAGCTATGTCTCCCTAACGTTACTAAAAAACCACATTCTGATTGGAACCGATTTCATGAAACAATCCGGCATTATTTTGAATACGGCACAACGTTATTGGTACTATGAAGAGGAACCAAGGAAGAAACATTCGTTTACCAATCCTTTGGAAATGCAAGTGTTTTTCTGTAGATGTCAAAGCTCACCATGATTCTCCAATAACTAAAGCAATCAGCGGAATGTCAAAATTCATCCTCGTCGCCAGCTTAGGTTTGACTTCTGCTACTACTTTATTTTTTGAGTTCTATTCTTAGACTAAATTACATAATTTGTGTTTTACTTATTGAGTTAAATACTTGTTAAGCGTTTCTGTTCTTTTGCACTTTTTTTTATTGTATTTCAAAAATAGTGATAAGCTTGTTGCACAAATTATATTTCCCAATACTTTAGCTAGAAGACAGTAAATTGCTAATATTGCAATTTTGGGTACAATAGCTTAAATGTGCTGAATTATATTTCTGGATAAGTATGCACAAGCAAACAAAACAAAAATACTAATAATAATTAAATAATAATAATAATAAACAAGCAAGTGCATTGACAAACAGGAAACGCGTGCATGTTATTTAAGAAACCATTTAAATTAGGACACGGTGAGGTGATATCGTATCTTTTAATTTTGTGCGCTGTTTGGTTTCAATCGTGAAAATTGCACTTAATGCTCTTCTACGGACACATGACTTGATGGAACTGCTAAAACTATTTCAGACAGATTAAACAAATCTCTTTTTTTAGTTGATAGACTTTTCCAGTAGTCAAGTATATTCGTTACGAGAGGCATTTTTTGTCCATATGCTGAATTATCCAGTTTTTGGCGAATATTGTCATTATTTTGGATCGAGAATCGGCTAATAGTCAAGTTATTGAATTCTTCTTTCAAAATATTGTAAGGTGACATGGTCATAGCATCTTGGGAGTTACTTTCTTTGGTACTGAATTCGCTTGGTGAACATTCGTTTGCTAAAGAATTTATCGCGTTAAAATACGGTCGCAAAATGAGCTCATGTGAAAACATCGTATTTTAATCGTTCGCGAGCGAATTTTTGCAAACCCTGCTCAATGTTGCTCATCTTTAAAGAAACTAGAAAAATGCCACTCTGTGCTGGAGTCTTGTAGTGTCAAATAGACTGTTAAATATGCAACAGTTGGCTTTGTATATTTTTAATTTGTTTTAACAAACTTCTTATATTGTGAAAACCCGCGAAACAAGAATGAAATTTCGGGGTTATTCTACAAGATCGAATCTAAAATAATAGGATAATACAGTTTTATCACAAAATTATCTTGCAACCAAATATGAAATAATTTCAAATTATTCATTATTCATTCAAATTATATTATATATGTATACAAAATGTGTGTATGTTTTGACAAAATAAGGGCACAAAAAGAAAAAAAATTGTGTTTACCTTTTGTAATTATGCCATGGCCCCAACCTACAACCGTTTTAATTGCTAATATAACATACATGTATGGTTTTGCACTTCTGTTTGTATAATACTATTTTATTTTCATTTCAGGATGGTCCATACATTCTTTTGTCAAAAACTTCAACTTCAAACTTCACAGAGGCTTAATAAGAATTGCAGCATCCAATGTTGTTATGGTGAAACGTTTTGAAGAGAATCGCAGAGGCGGAGGTGGTGCAGCGTTCCTAATACACCATCCTGTTTATACAAATTAGAAAATGTTGATTTCTTTGTTGACCTCGGCGTTATCTTGGATCAAAACTACGATGTTATTTACACATTGACTCGAGTGTTAATAAAGCCAAGTCTATTAGGTTTTATTAAACGCTGGTCCAATGAGTTCGTTGATCCTTATGTCACCAAAAAGCTGTTCGCTTAGTTCTCCCAGTATAAAAATACGGATGCATTCTGTGGAGTCCTTTTTACAAATGCTTTTTAGATACGATTTATCATCTCTGTTGTTTAAGTGTAGGTTAGGTTTAGGTTAAGGTAGTTTTAAGGTAAATAAAATGAGATATGCTCTCAGCATTGTGGTGCTGGGAGCAAGCACGATATACACACTTAGTTTAGTAAACACTAATTAACAATTGTTTGTAAAGCCAGACGCTGAAAATACGCTTTAGTCAATAAAACAAAACATTATAGTTTTAAGTATTTCTTTCTTCACTTTAAAATTGTAAATTTTCGTGTTAAAAAAAAGACTCAATAAATTTGAATTGAATTTATAGATAAAATCGAAAGTGATTTATTTTTAATTGATTTCTCAGCACTTGAAAGGAGACGGTTAGCACACTCTTATCCATTTTTATTTTAAAATCTCATTTTTGCTGCACTTAATCTGCAACTACCTTTGCGGAACCAGTAGGTCCAACCGTTGAGCATTAATTGTCCGATTCTTTAGATTCATTTCATACGGCACCTAGTCTACTAAACCTAACCTAGTCAACTAACCCACCATTCCCGTTCTTTGGTGTGTACGCGCTCCCTACGTATGGGAAGTTTGTCCCCCGGGCTACAGGGATAGGAGTCAGAGGCGTGGAAACTATTAAAAAAATAATCAGCACATGCTAATGTTAGTTTAAGAGAAATTTAATTGCGCGTACTACGCGAAGTCCCATCGATTTTATATTTCACCAGTTGAAAGCTCAGAATCAATTTGACTGCGCCAAAGTTTGATGATAAATATACATCTAAGCATTAATCGCTTTTTCTCTAGTGAAGGAAGAGCAATAAGATTCAGGCCGCTCTCATATGGTTGGAGAAGTTCATTGGAATTCCATACTTAATGTGAAAATACATAAAACTTAACATAAACTCCTTCGTTCCTCTACGAAGAAGCCTGCCGATAACTTGAGCCCATTAAAAAAGCATTTTATGTATTCTAACTTTAGCTTTTCAGAGCAAACAGAAGAGACCGAACCTGAACAGATCCTATATTTATTGAGTATAGTTTTAAGAAACGACTCCAAAGTACGCAACCATATTCTAAAGTAGGTCGAACAAGTCTGATAAATAAGGGTTTGGTCACATAAGGACCAAGAAATTCCTTTGACCAGGGTCTTTCAAATCGTACAAAAAACTTTATTAACACAATACTATATGTAAGTTAAAACGTAATTTATTGTCTAATATGGCATTATCCAATTTGTACGAACTAAAAAGCTTGGCAAACTCTTGTAGCATACGTACCCAGGCGTATTTTTTCTTTGTCAAATAGTGCGTACAAAATTCTTGATTTTTTTTTCCTGTATCAGTTAAAACAAGTAAACAAGTAAAGTTAAAACAAGTAAAAAACATAAGTTATTTCCTTCTTTCAATACCCTCCACCTTAGAGTAAAAAAACTTTTTTTGTATATACAGTAAGATAGTAAGACGAACTTTGAATACCCTCCACCATTTGGAACGAATTTGGAAATTTTCAAAAAATAAAATCCTTAAAACATTCTGTTAAAATTTTAAAAATACCAAATATAGCGGTTATATTGGGGATTATACGACGTGGGCCTACATAGGCATTGTTTGTCATAAGCTATTACCATATTCAATTTCGAAACTTGAAATAAACGGTGAATAATGTAGCGAAAATCATCAAAATATCGTATATAGGGAGGTACCGTTATATCGGAGCTGTGCGAAGACAATTTTCTGTCACAGGCTGTAGCATCCATTACGAACTTCAAATACCACATCTCAAACAATTTCGGTGGGTATCTAAAAATGCCGAATATAGGGAGGTACTGATATATGGGGCCTATACGAAGACGTGGACCTGCACAAACAATTTTCTGTGCTAGAGTGTAGTATCCATTTCGAACTTCAAATACTAAGTTTGAAACAATTCCATCAAAATACCGAATATAGGGAGGTACCGTTATATGGCGGCTATGCGAAGACGTGGACCTGCACAGACAATTTTCGGTCTTAGAGTGTAGTATCCAATTCGAACTTCAAATACCAAATTTAAAACAATTCCGGTGAATAATGTCGCTAAAATCATCAAAATACCGAATATCGGGAGGTACCGTTATATGGCGGCTATACAAAGACGTGGACTTGCACAGACAATTTTCTGTCTTAGGGTGTAGTAGCCATTTCGAACTTCAAATACCAAATTTGAAACAAGTCCGGTGAATAATGTCGCTAAAATCATCAAAATACCGAATATCGGGAGGTACCGTTATATGGGGGCTATATGAAAACGTGGACCTGCGTGGCCCATTCACATGGAGCTGCCTACTGGAAAAATAAACATGTGTGCAAAATTTTAGCCATCTATCTCAATTCATTCGAAAGATAGCGTGATTGCAACAGACAGACAGACAGACGGATGTTGCTAAATCGACTTAGAATTTTGCGCTGGTCAAGAATATATATACTTTGTTGGGTCTGACATGAGTATTTCGAGGAGTTACAAACGGAATGCGAAGTTAATATACCCTCCATAGTATGGTGGAGGGTATAAAAACAGTAAGACCGTTTGCATAATGCAGTTAAATTTATCAAAAAACATAAAGTTAGTGTGGCTGTTATATGGGGTCATACCAAAATGGGAACCTCAATAGGCAATTTTATACTTCAAGGATTGTCATCTATAAATGTAACTAGGGTTATTAAAAAAAATAAATGTGACTAGGGTTATTAAAATACCGAATATCGGTCGGTATCGTTATATGAGCGCTTTAGGAAAACGTGGAACTATATATTCAATGTTTTGTCACCGGGCAAATACAAATTTGTATCAACATACCGAATATAGGGAGGTGCCGGTGTATGGGGTCTATACCAAAACGAAGTTTTCTCTACACGAGCTAGTACCTATCATGGGCAACAAATTCTAATTTTTAGACAAATCCGTGAAAAAATGGGGCAACAATCATCAGAATACCGAATATCGGGAGGTACCGTTCATTGGGGGCTATACCAACACGTGGACCTATACAAACAATTTTTCGCTACACGAGCTAGGACCCATTATGAACCACAAATACCAATTTTTAGACGAATCCGAAAAAAAATCATCAAAATACCGAATATCGGGAGGAACCGTTATATGTGGGCTATACGACATCATGGAACTATACATACAATGTAATACCAATTTAGACAATTCTGTGCAAAAATGTGGCTATAATAATCAAAATAGCTAATATCGAGAGGTACCGTTATATGGCGGCTATACCAAAACGTGGACCGATATATCTAATTTCCAATACCAACTATCCTAGACACAATACAAATTGTGTCTTGAAGGTCTACGTCAAATAATGTGGGCTGTATCGTGATTTCAACAGACAGGCAGACGGACATTGTTAAATCGATCGAATTTTATGCTGATTATTAATATATATACTTTATGGGGTCTACGATAAATATGTAGGGATGTTACAAGCGGAATGACAAAGTTAATATACCCTCCTTTAGAAGGTAAATGGTATAATTATATAATTAGCAAGTATCGTTTAATTGTGTTAGTAAACGATACTTGCTAATTATATAATTATACCATTTACCTATCTTTTTTGTTTGCTTAGCCTGACGTTTGTTGTATTAGTTGTTGTTTTGCTGTTCACTTGTCTATAATTATTATTGTAGATTCTTTAGCATTTTTCATGCGGCTATAATTAATACAGTTATTTCTATTGTAACAATTTAATCAAGTATTCAGTATTGAGTATATTTTTAGGCATATATTTAGCAATGGCTTGTTTATACAAAGAGTGTAATATAACAAGTTCATTTAAATGTACTGGTTTCAACGGCAGAGTTTGATCTCAATACTAATAGAGAAACAGATCTTCGTTGGGCTTGCATCGATTGTAAGTTACTAGAAGTCGATTTTTAGGACAGCTAAAATCGAATCGAATTTTAATCTTCAGAAACGATTGTGCCTCCTAGTTCCAAAATGTATTCTATAGTACAACCAGTACCAGTTAGTGCATCACCATCAATTTCTAATCCTCCATCTATTGTAGTGTCTGAACCCTCTCCTTCCACTAACAGCAACGAGTTAATATTAGTTGCTCCTAGAAGAAGTATATTTATCAGGCATGTCACAAGAATGAATTCGGAATGAAAGTGATTTTAATTTCGTATGTAGCTTCTTCAGAAAATGTAAATGGCAACATTTTTCCGATTTGAAACCACCTTTGTTTTTGCAAGTGAAATTGTATTTTTATGGAAACTTGTGAATTTAAAACACTCTCAAAATACTTTTAAGCAATAAAAATATTGTCTTAATGACAAATAAACAATTAAATTTACATTTTTTATATTTTTATTTAAAATAAATACCAAATTTTAATGGTTTCTCAATTGACGAAGGCAATTGTTAACAAAGTGTTGCCACACTTTTATCATCAAACAAAAATTGTTCATCTGTACAAACCCAACAATGTGGTACTACGAATAATAAACTGAAGAAAAGAGAAAAAAACAAAACAAAAAGAAACTTAAAAAAATAATTTTGTACAAACATGTAATTATCTTAAAATAGGTGAAATATGTATTGTGGAATGACGTTTAATCAATTATTCATTAATTAATATTTTAGGGGCAGGCACAGGAATTCGGCAGAAGAAACAATTGTCATAGGTTAAAACTTGTGTATTTTTAATATATATACTAGCTGGCCCAGTCTGCGTTGCCGGCCCGTAGTTTTAGTCTTTAATGCATAGTTTTTAAGCATAAGTAGTTTCAGCAACAGGTTTTAATTTGAGAGTTTAAAACCTAAATAAAAGATCACATGTAAAAAAAGTATACATTAACTGTTTTCTGCGAAGAGGTATTCTACCCCCTTAGAAGCTAAGATGAAAAATGGGACCAAGACGCTGGAAATAGGCGAAATCAGCAGATACCTTCACTTTTGCGAAGTATAGGGCAAAATATTCGAGGCTCTTTGTGTTTGGTTAAGCTATATAAAATGGACCCTATAAACATTTACCCGAAACCCCATTTTTGGGATTTTTTTCTACAAACCAAACAATTTTCCAAGTGTATTTTCCCGCAGTGTAATCACTGACGATAGCGCATAGTCACCGTTTAACGTTACATGTGAGTTAAGGTCACTGTTTAATTTAGATTGAAAATTATTGTTTCACTGCGTTAACAATGGGTTAACGCCTAATTACTTGTAAATGATTAACATCGTTGAAATCTATCAATGTCAACAGATTTCAACGAGTGGCGAATGGCGCCAACGCCGACATACTTCATGTTGGGATCGTTGTTTTGTTGTTAGACACTCCTCTTCTTCTATCGCCCCGATACGAACGAAGGCTCTCCCTCGCTATCGTGCAAATTAAGGTAATATTGTTTACCAACTCCTTTTTTATTATTTATCAATAAAGCCTGGCTTTTGCCTTATTTTATATTATAAAACTAAGCCCACTATTGCGTGTTTTTATTTATTTTATTTTGTATTGGTTTGCTTTGCATTTCCCCCTTTCCCCGCATTGGCGCAAACATTGGTCACTTCGTACCGGATTACGAGCCCTTGGTAAAAAGAAGTTAATCGTTTCTTCTTTTTTTCTATTTGTAAAGCAAACTTCATCATCACCATCAACAAAAATACAGTCCACACACCCATCGTCATCATCATCTTTATCATCATCTCGTTTCCATTAAAAACAACGAGATACGTACAGTGAAAAAGTGCCTTGTGAAAAAAAACAATATTCTGTGAGGAAAGAATTCTCGAAAAAAAAATTGTAAAACAACAACAATTCGTGTCGTTTATTTCTTCAGTGGCCGTTTTACAACGCGTCGCGTACCCCGTCCCCCGCCGTCTAGTTTTGCAAATTACATTGGTTTGTTTGTTTTTTCGCTAACGATCGATATACAAACATACAAACGCAGTAATAGGCACACCGCTGATGATCACTGCTTGGTCGGTCAGCCACACATAAGCGTATACATACATACGTTTGGTGCAGAAGTTTGATATTTTTCTATCGTTCGTTGCATTACAGGTGAACCGTGATAAAACCACCTGTAATATAATATATGAAAAAGTTTTGATTTTTGTTTGGAATAATTATTAATGATAATTGGGTGTAAAAAACGACGTTTTTGAAAAAAATAAATAACGCGTGCACCCTACGATCGGTCAATACGACTTTTTGAGTAAAAAGTGTTAAAATTGATATTTTTCGTGCGGAATTTGAAATTTTTAATTAATTTTGGAGATTTTATTCGAAAATTTTATTGTTGATAAATATTTATTGGAAAATCACGCTACATTCGGTAGTATAGTTGCCTAAATTGTAGGTAATTTTAGATATAAAATTTGAAGAATCTCTATATTTTCGTTAGAAAATAGTAAAAAAATAAAATATTTTAAATTTTTTTTTTTAGAAAATTTGATAGTTTGTATATATATATTGATATATTTTTTGAATATTTTATATTTATTTATTGACTTCTTCACATTTTTCGTGGTACCTTATTATAGGTTGCTAAATATCTCATTGGAGATTATAATTTTGGAATTTATAGTTCAAATTTTAATTTTTCAATATAGTGTGAGAGGTTCAATGCAACTATTTCGCGAAAGTTTTTGAATTTTTTGACCCTATAGTGCGGTTTTAGTAAATTCTTGGAATCTTTTCGGTACGTTCCCTGAAAATTTAACAAATTTGGACGATTTGGTTTTTGGTTAATTTTTTATAGGAAATCGTGCTTTAGTTGTTTTTCTCTTACTTATTGTAGTAGAGACTTGGTAAAAAACTTTCAAAATGCCTTTGACCCCAATTGATATGTTTATTAGAGCTTCGGATGCTCTCGTAAAGTTTAACGCTAGTTTTGAGTCTATGCGTGATGAGGAATTGGATTTGCAGTATTTAAAATCCCAAAATTAATGGATTAGAAAAGTTGTGGGAAAGAGTGCAGGAAAAATTTGAAAAAGGCTGTGATTTCATGAGAGACATCTAAAGAAGAAGTAGATTCGGTCGATCAAAAATATAATGCATCTTTTCAACTCTATTTGCGATGCCAGGCTGCAATTAATAGGAAGTTAGATCAATTTAAAAGGACTCGTTCTTCTTCTATTAATTCAAGCGTTAGTGGATCGGTAGCGTCGTTGTTAGAAACCCCGGGTGAAACCCTAGAAAAATCACCGAATCCAATTATGCCGAAAACGTCGGTTGAAACGCGAAACCAATTGAATGTTTCGAATCAGGCTTCGCTCGAAAATCCTTCCCAAATTCAGACTCCGCTTACCTCTATTGTGGGGAATAGTAGTGCGAGTTTTCCAACTTTAGATTTTGTTTCAAATTCAGATGTTGTAAATAATCTAGCTCTGCCGCCTTGTGACACAGATGTTTTTGAAGGCGATTTCCACTCATGGCCCACCTTTAGGGATTTGTTTACCGCCGTATACATTAATAATGCTCGTCTAAGCGACATTGAAAGGCTTTGTCATTTGGTCCGGAAGACGACAGGGGAAACTCGCGAGATAGTGTCAAAGTTTCCACTAACTAATCGTAGTTTCGCGTCGGCTTGGAAGGCTTTGATCGAAACTTATGACAATCCTCGACTTCTTGTTCATAACCAGTTGAAGTTTTTATTCGATATTCCTGTTCTCTATAGTGAGACTAGTTCAGGATTAAAGACGATCCAACGCGGTATAAATGGTTGTTTAACTTCGATGGCAATTTATGATGTTAAAACTGAAAATTGGGATCCGATTCTTGTGTTTTTGTGTCTCCAACGACTGCCAAAACTTACTCAGACCCTTTGGGAGCAAAGTGTAAAGGATAAATCCTCTCTTTCGTCTTGGAAAGACTTGGATGCTTTTCTCACTGAGAGAATTCGTACGCTCATGTGTCTTTATGACATGCGTGGCACAGATAGGTCGAAGCAGTTTTGTAATAGACAAGTTCAAGCACACCATTCGCATATTAATGTTTTAGGATCGCCTTCTTCTCCACGCGCTTCGAAAAATTCAAATTGCGTCATTTGTCGAAATCAACGTCATAAATTGTATGACTGTCCCCGCTTTAAGAGCTTAAAACCCGTTGATCGGTATAAAGTAATTAAACGCCATCAACTTTGCATGAACTGTCTTCGTAGCGGTCATGAAGTAAAGAAATGCGATAGCAAACGTAGGTGTTCGAAGTGCAATAAGGCACATCATACATTGTTGCATCGGGAAGATATTACATTGGGTAATTCGTCTCAAACTTCCACCGTGACTTCTAACGTATCCCCAAATTCGAGCTCTAGGCAATCCAATTCGGGAAACTGTGTAGCATCCACATCGGCTGGATGTGTACCCCGTCAAGTGTTTCACGCCGCACAGAACAAATCTGTACTTTTAGGTACGGCGGTGGTGAATATCGTTCACCAAGGTGTTTTGTATCCCGCTAGGGCGCTGATAGATCCTGCGTCAGAGTCCTCTTTTATTTCAGAGCGACTCCAAAATCGTGTGGTTCTTCCCGTATCTCCTGCTAATGCTGTTGTATCAGGAGTTAGTGGTTCGCTTTCGGCAACTGCTAATAAAAGCTGTCGTATACAAATAAGCAGTCCACTCGATAATTCTCTAACATTAGAAACAAGTGTGTTAGTGTTGCCTACTATTTCAGAAAATCTTCCGTCATTTGTGACCAATTCAGTCTTGAGGCCCCAAATCCCCGACCTTCGCTTGGCAGATGTCAATCTTTTTTAACCTCGTCCTGTAGATCTGTTGTTAGGAGCCGATCTTTACCCCAATATTGTTTTAGATGGTCGTCGTTCGATTTTGTCTGGAGCTTTACTGGCTCAAAACTCAGTGTTCAGCTGGCTTGTCACGGGTCCTATACCAGCAGCAGAGGACCACCAATAATAGTGGATGGATTTGTGGATCGACCCCCCCTGAGCTTTTGGTTGACGCTCAATTATTATCGTATGTTGGAGCTAGTAGTCACAAACCTGTGGGCGGTAGGTGAAATTTGAATTTAATTTTTTTGTCTACTTTGCAGTTAACTCTACAGTTAATAATCCCAGTTAAACTAAGAGGGAAGTTCTTTCGGCTTTTGCGAAATTGTTTGATTCCCCAATGATTGTTACAGCGAAGATGATTAACTTTTAACAGCTACTGAGGCTGATTGGAAAAGTTTTTGTCCGATGTCGCCAGTTCTGACGAAATAGTCGCGTCGACGCCAAGACATTCTCTCATTGGGGCCCCTTTGTTAGCACCGCCTGAACCTCTCATCACAGAGCAACCATTAAGCTTCGTTAATCGGTCTAGGAAAGTTCAGGCCCTCGCCCACAAGTTTAGTTTGAGGTGGAAAGAGAAATATTTGAAACATTTACACATAAATGGAAATTTCCAGGTATAAATGGAAATTTCCAGAGCGCGATTTAGCCATAGATGATTTAGTTGTTATTCGTCATGACAGGCCGTGTCGTAAATGTTCATCCGGGAACTGACGGTCACGTTCGAGTCGCGGACGTCCGAACCGAGAACGGCGTTGTAAGACGGTCCACCACCAAGTTGGTCATTCTGACCGAACACCCCTCGATAAGTAATTAAAATGGTTCTCTTCTCGTTATATAGTATGTCGGTGAAATTGTACACGGAAGACGAACTCTTGAATGTTGACGTCAACGCTACCCCGGATTGTCCCCCAACCGATACTACTTTGTCCTTTGTGACCGCATGCACCCTTCGTAGAGTTGTTGTTAAATTTAATGATTGCATACGGTGTTTAGCGAAATCCCACCAAGCCAGGGACTGTCAAAGTAAAAGAAAGTGTGCCGTATGCAACGAAGATCACCTCACTCTTCTTCACGTTGATTCGAAGACCGTGGTTAAACCCACAAGTAATAGTCGGCGTCGTCCGCATACGGATTATAGGCACCGTTCGCGTCATAGTCCATACTATCGTCCGACTAAAAATGCTTCCCCCTCGCAGGTAGGACTGGTCGGCTTGTTGTCCCTCCAGTCTGGTATCTGCATTTCCCCGACGTTGTTAGTCACAGTTGATGCTTTTGGCCGTCCCTCTATCGTGAGGGCGGTATTGGACCAATGTAGTAGGCAGAGTCAGATATGCTCCTCTCTGGTGCATAGTCTTCGTATCCCTACTTCTAGAACCGATGGTAGCCATATATGTAGGCTTAATCTCACCTCGATATACGACCGGAGTCAGTCCTTGTCAATTGTGGCAGTGGTGACCCATCTGGACCATGCGCGTACGCCTACAGCGGCAATCCCAGAGCGCATTAAAGACTCCTTTCTTGGTCTTCCTTTGGCAGATCCCGATTTCAATAGGCCTGGTCGGGTGGCCCTGGTACTCGGGCCGGAAGTCTATGCCAGGGTCGTAACACATAGGGTGCATGCGACGCCAGGGTTACCGATAGCCCACTACACCACATTTGGGTGGGTATTGTCGGGCATATGTAACATATAGTGTTACACAATGTTGTTTGAAAAAAATGAATTGAATTAAAAATAAAGAAATTGAAGATAAAAAATTGAATTTGAAGAAAAAGAAAAGAAAAAAAAAAAAAGAAATGGAATTATGTATTGTATTTTAGTTACAACATCCCAATATGTTGCAAGGTGGGCGGAATGTTTAATTTAGATTGAAAATTATTGTTTCACTGCGTTAACAATGGGTTAACGCCTAATTACTTGTAAATGATTAACATCGTTGAAATCTATCAATGTCAACAGATTTCAACGAGTGGCGAATGGCGCCAGCGCCGACATACTTCATGTTGGGATCGTTGTTTTGTTGCTAGACACTCCTCTTCTTCTATCGCCCCTATACGAACGAAGGCTCTCCCCCGCTATGGTGCAAATTAAGGTAATATTGTTTACCAACTCCTTTTTTATTATTTATCAATAAAGCCTGGCTTTTGCCTTATTTTATATTATAAAACTAACCCCACTATTGTGTGTTTTTATTTATTTTATTTTGTATTGGTTTGCTTTGCATTTCCCCCTTTCCCCGCATTGGCGCAAACATTGGATATATCAATAAATATATAAAGTTGGGTAAATTTTATAAATTTTTATACTAAGAAAAACTCTTGTGTTTTTATTTATCTTTTTGCATATACCCTACGGTCCACTGCTCGACGCATTCAGTGTATTCACTCCCATCGGCGGAGCCCCTCTGAGCTAAACATTTGGTCCAATCGAACCGGATATTCCAGCCCTCTTGGACGCTTTTGGAATCCACAATATACAGTCCATTACTCCTGCATTACAAGGTACGTATAGTGCAGTGTTTTTAAGTGAGCTCGCGTTACTAAATTGCCGCAACAATAACAAAACATTCGGTTTTGTTCAGGTCCAAAGGTCGTTTTACAACGTCACATCTTTCTTTTGTTTTGTTTCCCGCCAATCGTTGGCTTCTAATTTGGATGCTTGCATTCGGCAGTATCATAATCAAAACAAAAATCAAAAATAAAATTGTTGCAAAAATCCTTTGCTAGTTTTCGTTCTGTTTTGGTTCATGCAAAACAACAAAACATTAAACATCTCGTTTCGTTGATATCAACAAAAACGTCGTCGTTGTTAGTTCTTAGTTTAGTGTGCTTTACTACCTAAAGCAAAGACCGCAATATTATTCTTTTTGTTTGGTCTGTCCGCTTTAATATTGCAAATTGTTGTTGTTACATTTATTCTTTTTTCTCGTTGTAACAACAGTCAAATTTATTTTCTGTTTTGTTTGTCGCAAACAACAACAACACTGTTTAAACCCCCACCGCTGTTTGCTTGCTTTGTCGTCGTTCTCTGATCAGCACTTGTTGTTTGTGCATTGTTAGATCAGTGAACGAACATAACAATCGAAAGAAGAATATTTTTGTTCATTCCTCTTTCTGTCGTGTCCGTTTAGGTTGAGTAGCTACACCACGTTGGTCGGTCACTTTTGTTAGTTACATTGTTTGTTATAGGACATCGGAAAGTTAAAACTAAAATAAAATAATTTAGTTAATTTTGTTCTTTTGTTGTTGTTTTGGAAATTAAAAAATTAATACATCCTATTCACGGTCATTTTGGCTAATTAAATAAATAAAAATTAAATTGTTATTTTATTTATTTTTGTATTTTTCCCCAAACTTGGTCGGCGTTTCGTGTTATAATTATGGCCTTCGCTCCTCTACAAACTTTCATAAGAGCATCTGACGCTCTGACATAATTTAGTGCACAAATCGGTGCAATAAAAGGTGACGATTTAGATATTAGTATATTAGAGGAAAGGAAGAGCAAGCTAGAAAAATTATGGCAATCGGTCCATAAATCGTTACGAAACTTAGAGAATTCAGAAAATGTTACTAAGGAATATCTGCATTTGGCAGATAGTAAATATAATGTTTCTATTAACATTTACACAAATGCAAGGACAACAATCGATAAAATAATTATAAAAAATCGTTGTATAATAAAAAATTCGAATAAAATTGCGGATGCATCTCATGAGCAATCGGCTCAATCTCTTTTGGTTCCTGAATTGCAGGAAAATATTGCCGCAAGTATTTCTTCGGGTTGTGATATCGTTCACAATATGGCATTGCCCCCAATTGATATTGATATTTTTGAGGGAGTTTTTTTTTCTGGCCTTCGTTAATCGGTCTAGGAAAGTTCAGGCCCTCGCCCACCAGTTTAGTTTGAGGTGGAAAGAGAAATATTTGAAACATTTACACATGAGGTATAAATGGAAATTTTCCAGAGCGCGATTTAGCCATAGACGATTTAGTTGTTATTCGTCATGACAGGCCGTGTCGTAAATGTTCATCCGGGAACTGACGGTCACGTTCGAGTCGCGGACGTCCGAACCGAGAACGGCGTTGTAAGACGGTCCACCACCAAGTTGGTCATTCTGACCGAACACCCCTCGATAAGTAATTAAAATGGTTCTCTTCTCGTTATGTAGTATTTCGGTGAAATTGTACACGGAAGACGACCTCTTGAATGTTGACGTCAACGCTACCCCGGATTGTCCCCCAACCGATACTACTTTGTCCACTGCTGCCGTAGAAGCAGCCCTGGTGGAACCAATTGCTGCTGTGACAATATCTGAGCCTGGGTTCGAATCCAAACGGGATTCATCTGCGGCCCTCGCATCTGATTTACCGATGCAAACCGAGTCCGAATCCATATATGTGAATTCATCTGCGGTTCCGGTCCCTGCCGATAACCCCCAAATTGAAAAGTCGCGAACCGAGTCCGGATCTTCGGGTCCATCTGCGGCTCCGGTTGCCACTTCTCAATCGTTGGAGGAGTCGGCCAAATCTAGTAGGTCCGAATCCTCTCGGGATTCATCTGCGGCCTCCCATAAATGTCGCCTTTGTGACCGCATGCACCCTTCGTAGAGTTGTTGTTAAATTTAATGATTGCATACGGTGTTTAGCGAAATCCCACCAAGCCAGGGACTGTCAAAGTAAAAGAAAGTGTGCCGTATGCAACGAAGATCACCACACTCTTCTTCACGTTGATTCGAAGACCGTGGTTAAACCCACAAGTAATAGTCGGCGTCGTCCACATACGGATTATAGGCACCGTTCGCGTCATAGTCCATACTATCGTCCGACTAAAAATGATTCCCCCTCGCAGGTAGGACTGGTCGGCTTGTTGTCCCTCCAGTCTGGTATCTGCATTTCCCCGACTTTGTTAGTCACAGTTGATGCTTTTGGCCGTCCCTCTATCGTGAGGGCGGTATTGGACCAATGTAGTAG